CTCCATCACCAGGACACATCGAGTGATCATAAGATACAACACCACAATGATACACTGTATTAGGATCCATTATAAGAGGGATCCTATAGGATTCTATTGGTGATCTATTCTATGGGGACACATTATATTAGGATCCATTATAAAATGGATCCAATAGAATTCTATTGGTGATCTATTCTATGGGGACACATTATATTAGGATTAGGGATGGCCTTGATGTGCGAGTTGAACGCAAGTTTGACTAAAATATCGGCTGTTCATGTTTGGAAAACATACGAATCATAAGGGCACTCAGTGGGCTGTTCTCCCGCCGCGCCCCACAATCCACTGCGCTCTCAGAGTGTATTGTGATTGGGCAGAGCAATGCCCTTGACAACAGGTCAAGTGCCATGCTTTGGACAATCACAACACAATTAGGCGGAGCTAGCACTGACATCACTGTTAGCTCCGCCCAATTGTTTACATCTGACTGGAAAATGTCAGGTAGGTGCAAGTGCTCGACGGGTGCAGGCGGGTCAGCGGGTGTTGTTTTTTTTTTTTTTTAATTTTGGCGAATCAGATTTGCTGTGACAACACTGGACACCATGATTGATGATGGATTACAATGATGAAACCATTTTTTTGGCTTTTTAAAAAATGTAAATAAAGGACTGTTGTTTTGTTTTTTTTTATTTCAGTAAAGGAATTTTTCAAAAGTCTGGCCCTTTAGTGAATGAGTAGGGGTACAGGTACTCCTTACTCATTCACAAGGAAGGAGGGCAGCATCCTAAAGGGGTACCCTGACGCCAATGAGCTCCCCTGCCCACAGACCCCATAACCACCAGGCCAGGGTTGTGGGGAAGAGGCCCTTTTCCTTATCTGTATGTGGACACTGTCCCAATGATGAGGGCATGTCCCCCCTCCCCCTTTCCTGCCTTGCCAGGCCTGTGCTTGGATCAAGGGTCTGGTAGGAATTTAGGGGGGACCTCATGCATTTTCCCTCATTTTATGGGGTGGGGTTCCCCTTAGAAATCCTACCAGGCCTAAAGGGTCTTATATGGCTTTTAGGGGGAACCCCCCCATGAATTGAAAAGCACATCTGCAGCATAGGTTGCAGGGTCTGCACTTTTCTGCCCCTCCCCCGCTGAAACACCCATAGCAGCCATCTCTTCCTCCAACCCTTTGGCTTGGCCCTACCCCCCAGACTTTCTGAAATATTTTACATTATTTAGGTTTCCTGGCAATATGGCATTTTTTGGCCCCAGGGGTTGAGACAAAGTGGGGGGCCCATACTAGGCAGTGTGATATATTTGTGTTCCCAGAAAATGTCATATATTCAGGGCTTCAGGCTATGTGACATATTTGGGGATGGAAAATTGAGAGTCTCTTTTAGGCCAATTGGGACCCCAAGGCAATATAACAAAAACTGTAAGGACCCCACATAATGTGACTTGGGGCCCCCAGGACAAGGATGTTTAGCACCGAAGTCAAAAAAGTTAAAGTGCTTCACCCTTCAGGCAGACTACTTCAGCATCAGACTACTTCAGCCAGGGCAGAGTCTCTTCTGCCAACCCTGAACCGTATCAAATATTTGGAGCCTTCTGCAATGTGAAATTTATGGGCTCCAGGGATTGGGAAATATTTGGGGCTCTTGAAAATGTGACATTTTTCTGTCCCTCAGACAATGTGACATGTTCAGGGCCCCAGGTCACGAGACATATTTGGGACAACAGGGAATATGATATATTTGCCCCCCTGGCTTCCCTAGGAGGGTCTTGTAAAGGAACACATTAACACGGCGTTCTCCTTTTCCCTTGATACATCTCATCTTATTCAGCACAGAGCAGAGTGTGAGACCCGGAGCAGCCAATCAGACGGTGTGACTGTTAGCAGCACTGTGATGTAGATCGCTGTCAGCGTGTTCTCCGGTCTCAACCTCTTTGGCTTCCCCTGTATTCTCCACATTACCAGCCTCATATATGATGTGTCTCTGTAGAATGTCATGTTTTCTGATGAGGAGGATGAGAGTGGAGAACATGCTGCACATAAACATACATCTAGGACCGGAACAAGGGGTGGGCAGAAGGGGAGGCTGCCCAGCGCACTGTGGCATCATGTGAGGTGGGGGGGAGGCACCATGATGAGATCAGGGAGAAGGGATTTGTGTTGGAAAAGGGAATTTGGGGGGTGGCAGGGATTAAGAATTGTTACAGGTGGGGGAATTTGGGGCATGGCAGGGAGTAAGAATTGTTCCAGGTGGGGGAATTTGGCGAGTGACAGGGGGTAAGAATTGCTCCAGGTGGGGGAATTTGGGGGGTGGCAGGGGGTAAGAATTGTTTCAGGTGGGGGAATTCGGGGTGGCAGGGGGTAAGAATTATTCCAGATGGGGGAATTCGGGGGGTGGCAGGGGGTAAGAATTGTTCCAGGTGGGGGAATTCGGGGGGTGGAAGGGGGTAAGAATTGTTCCAGATGGGGGAATTTGGGGGGTGGCAGGGGGTAAAAATTGTTTTAGGAGGGGAAATTTGGGAAGTGGTGATTTGGGGGGATAGGGGTGGAGGATTTGTGCTAGGAGGGGATTTGAGGGGTTTGTGCTAGAAAAGGTTATATGGTGGGACATGGGGGGTGGGGGATTTGTGCTAAGAGGGGGATGGGGAAAGGAAATGCATGTTGGGTGTAGGAGGAAAAAGGATTTGTGTTCGGAGAGGAATTTTTTTTTGGGGGGGGGGCATATGGGGAGAGAGGGGATTTAGCTGGGAGGGGCGATTTCAACAGGGGAGCAGATCTGCACTGAGAGAAGGGGGAATTTATGCTTGGGGGGTAAGAATGCAGATTAGTGATTCCTTTTTTTGTGTGTTGGGGGGGAAGGAATAGATTTTTGCTGACACATAATGCTCATACATTGTAGGGGGGTGCAATTTGGTATGTTCGCCCTGGGCTCTAGATGATCTTGACCGAGCACTGCATACATCTCAGTGTTGCCAACAGTGACACCAACACTGCTACAATTATATTAGTGATACATTCTATTGAAATCTATGCCAAGCCAAAACTTTTTTTCTAGTTTTGGATGAAGTGGGGAAGGATTGGAATCCCTGGCAGGTTTTTACTGCTATCTAAGGCTCAGAGAGATTTCCCCACCCTTCCTGTCTTGCTGACAATGTTTTACCAGACAGGAAATGATGGGAAATCTGCAATATAGAGAAATAAAAATCTGACAGCAGTTCTAGCCTTCCCTTATTCTACTAAAGAAACTATTTTTATTTCTGTCCACATTGTTGTTGCCAATTTTTGCTCACTTCCTGTTTCTAAAATGATCTTACCAAGGCAGGAAAGAAGGGGAAATCTCTCTAAGGGGACCCCAGAAAACATTAAAAACTCATCAGGGGTTTAAATCCCCCCCCCCCCACTCCATTCAAACCTGAGAAACACTTTATGGCTAGACATACACTTTAATTGATAATCACATTTTTTGTGTGGTAAATAGCTAGATCACTTCTTAGTTTATTTCCTCTGAGATTGTTACATTTCTTAGTATAGATTGTATGGAATAGGAGGGGGGAAGAGACCATATTCTGTCCGTTCGTTTGAATTTTTTCACACAATAAAATAATAATCCATAGAATATTTTTTTTTTTTTTTTTTTTTTTTTTTTTTTTTTTTTTTGACTCATTGTAAATGTAATAATAAGCAATGAAAATGTTTACAAATTCTAATAGATAGATAGATAGATAGATAGATAGATAGATAATACATAGATAATAGATAGATAGATAGATAGATAGATAGATAGATAGATAGATAGATAATAGATAGATAGATAGATAGATAGATAATAGATAATAGATAGATGATAGATAGATAATAGATAGATAATAGATAGATAGATAGATAGATAGATAGATAGATAGATAGATAGATAGATAATAATAGATAGATAATAGATAGATAATAGATAATAGATAGATAGATAGATAATAGATAGATAGATAGATAGATAGATAGATAGATAGATAGATAGATAGATAGATAGATAATAGATAGATAGATAATAGATAGATAATAGATAGATAGATAGATAGATAGATAGATAGATAGATAATAGATAGATAGATAGATAGATAGATAGATAATAGATAGGTAGATAGATAGATAGATAGATAGATAGATAGATAGATAGATAATAGATAGATAGATAATAGATAGATAGATAGATAGATAGATAGATAGATAGATAGATAGATAGATAGATAATAGATAGATAATAGATAGATAGATAATAGATAGATAGATAATAGATAGATAGATAGATAGATAGATAGATAGATAGATAGATAGATAGATAGATAGATGGATAGATGGATAGATAGATAGATGGATAGATGGATAGATAGATAGATAATAGATAGATAGATAGATAGATAGATAGATAGATAGATAGATAATAGATAGATAGATAGATAGATAGATAGATAGATAGATAATAGATAGATAGATAGATAATAGATAGATAGATAGATAGATAGATAGATAGATAGATAGATAGATAGATAGATAGATAGATAGATAGATAGATAGATAGATAGATAATAGATAGATAGATAGATAATAGATAGATAGATAGATAGATAGATAGATAGATAGATAATAGATAGATAGATAGATAGATAGATAGATAGATAGATAATAGATAGATAGATAGATAGATAGATAGATGGATAATAGATAGATAGATAGATAGATAGATAGATAATAGATAGATAGATAGATAGATAGATAGATAGATAGATAGAGATAGATACAGTAGGTAATCAATTATTATATAGATAAGACACACCCTTCCACACTGACCAATAAGAACATGGTAATCACTGTTTCAGCAGTAATTGGACCAATATTCTACCCAATCACAGTGATCAGCGACAGAGGGAGAAATCTCACTTTTTATTATTTATAGTAGAAAAGCCTGAAAGATACTGACTGAAGCCCCACCCACTGCCTTGTCCTAATGTCAGCAGACTCTGGACGGAGTTCTCACATCTCCCGATTCCCCCCCACCGATCTTTATACAACCTCCCCATACACATACCCCAGCATGGAGGGGCTCAGTGAAGGTGGTGGTGGTGAAGGTGTGGAGGTGTCGGATCGGGTCACACAGATCATAAAAGGAGATCTGCCCGGCCTTAATCCAGATATATCCTGACTCTGGTACTGGGGGGACTGGGGGGTAAGAGGATCTTATAACTCTCATGTAACACAGTATACTGATTGCTATCCATGACCAAACCCCAGGACTTCCTATTACGTCCAATCAGTGACTGCAATCCTCCTCCCCTGTCTATACTGGGGTAACACATCCCGACTCGCCATCCACCTGACCCCCCAACATCCACTTCCCAGTAATGTCTCCCTGAGGAGAAACTCTGACTGCTCAACACCTGAGGAAAATACTGAAATCTCTCTGGTGTTTCTGGAAGATTCTGGTTTCTACCTGACCAGGATACAGTTTTCCTGTCATCTGATATATGTAGATTATTACCTGCTGTGTTTCCATCCAGTAATATGTCCTCAGCTTCCTGTATATAGAAGGATACATTTCCCTCTGTTATTATATCAGATAAACCTGTGTATAATTTATGTAAAACCCCCGCCACATCCAGCCCCCCTCCATCATGGAGGAGTTCCTCATGTCTCTCTCTGTCCTCATCATCTCCATCCTCAGTATCACACAAGTCACCTGTGTCTGATTCCTGTAGGACAGTCAGTGGATCCGTCATGTTACACAGCTCCTCAATGTCACACATCTTCCTGGACAGCTCCTCCTTCTTTATTTCCAGATCCCGGATGAAGATGGAGATCCGCTCTGCCCTCCTGGAGATTTCCCTCAGGGCTCTCTCTTCCAGGTTTTCCAGAGATGTCCTGAGAACTCTAAACAGGGCAGTGGTGCTCTCGGTGAGGGAGACCTGCTTTGTCCGTTTGGAGATCTCCCTCAGGATTCTCTCCTCCTGGTCTTCCATATATTTCCTGAAATCTCTAAACAGGGCAGTGAATCTCTCAGTGTCACCAGCTGCTTTTTCTTCTACTTTCCTCCTGTGTTCCTGCAGACTCTGGACTCTTTCCTCCGTCTCCTCTCTCTTTGTCAGGAGTTTCTGCAGAACGTTCCTCAGTGTCTCCTTCTTCTTCTCAGAAGCCTCATCCAGCATCTCCATCTTATGTCCTTTATGTCTTTTTGTCACACAAAACATACAGACACAGGTGTCATCCTCAGTGCAGTAATACTCCAGGATCTTCTTATGGACGGAGCATTTTCTGCTCTCTATGGACAAGGTGGGGTCAGTTAAGATGTGTTCTGGGGACTTTTTGTGGACTCTCAGGTGTTTATCACACAGAGAATCCTCACAGCGTAGGCAGGTTCTAACAGCAGGTACAGGAGAGTCCACACAGTAAGTACAGAAGACCCCGGACTCTTGATCTGGCTGAGCAGACAGGAAATTCTCCATTTTGTTACGTAGCGTTATGTTCCTCTGCAGTGCAGGACGACTCCTGAACCTTTTTCTACATTCAGGACAGAAGTAATCTCCAGACCCCTCCTGTGTATCCAGCACACGATCAATACAGACCCGGCAGAAGTTGTGTCCACATCTCAGCAATACAGGATCGGTATAAATGTTCAGACAGACGGAACATTCCAGCTCTGATCAGCAGACGCCATCGCTAACAGCAGAAGGGAGAAGCGATACTGAAAGTCTCTGACTGCGATGAAGAATGCAGTTGGGTTGGTCAAATCCTCCTACACAGGGAGAAGCTGGGCCATACCTGTGATATTTGATATGGAGATCAGATACAGAGGAGGCAAGTTTATTTCACAATAGAAATGATAATCATATCTTCCAACATTAGAAAGAGCTAGAGAGAAAGACGGGTGCAGAGAGGAAACATGATGCAGTAAGTGCACCGAGGTGAAAGGTGGACATGACTGCAACATGATAAAAAGGAATGTGGCTATATAGAGTCTGAGCCTCGTATAATCATTCAGGATCTGGAACTATTTGTGGGGTCTGGTTAAGTGAAAATAAGTGAAATGTAGTGTGTGCAGTCATACACCACTCAAGACTGATCCCCAGAATCAAACAATGGTGTCGTGTTGTAGATGGCCTCAGATACTGCTCCTGCACGCCCTCTGATGATGAGTTTCACCCCGCCCATAGGGGCTTGGTCACAGAGGCGTGTCTCTTTGACCAAGGCCCGATGGGTGGATGCAACGTGCTGGAGAGACAGCTGAGGACATGTACAATACATGTTTGATTCCAGGATCGGTCTTGAGCGGCATCTGACTCTATACACACTACATTAATCTGGAATGGCTTGGGATGCTGCTCCCCTCTCTCTTCTTTGCTGGTGGGGGTGACTGTGAAAAAATGGATGACATAAGCTAGATAAAAATATATCCCTCATCCAGGTGTGAACATAACATAAAAATGTGTAAGGTGGTGCAAAAAATGCCAAGTGACAAAGCCAGCGGCAGGAAACTGGCTATGAAGTGGTAGTGACACAGGTGAATAACTCAATGGCTAACATATACAAAGAGTGACTCAATCCCAAAATAATCAATCAAAAATAATTGATAAGTGACAATACAAGGTGCAGGAAACCGGCTATGAAGTGCTAGTGACACAAGTGAATAAATCAATGGCCGATATATACAAAAAAGTGACTCAGTCCCAAAAAATATCTACAAATGATGAATAAATATAGACAGTAAAAACGACAGTCCCCCCCCAAAAAACAGAAAAAATGCAGTGAATCTTTAGTGCATGCTGTGATAGATCCAGTGCTGCAAACATATGAACAAATGCTCCACCGGCTAGCGTGCTCGCTCACCTTCAAAATTCGATCAGCAAGGAGTCACAAAACATAGAAAGCCTCAAACGATGATTTCCAAGAAATAGATCTTCAATACAATCAGAGAGCAAAAGGTCATCTCCAATGGCGCTCACTCATAACACTCATAAGCATGCTCCAGCAATACCTCACATGGAAGATGCAAGCAAGAAGACTCCCATAGTGTAATATGTCTCAAACATTATTTTAAATAACTATTATTATTTCTAAAAATCACTACTCACATTTAAAATAGGTCCGTAGACTGACAAAGGCAAAATTCTTGCAGTAAAACAACTGCAGAGAAGGTATAGGGATTTTGGAAGTACCAAGATGGAGGCTGCCATCCTTACCAGATATGACGTCACCACGCTTACATCCTACACATTACATCATGAGTCACATGAGTTCCTCAGGAGCCTTTCTCAGTGTATGTATTCAGCATATACAGTACATCCTTGGCAGCAAAGCAGTTATAGCAGGATCATGGCTGACACTGGTACCGCTTTTTTAGAGCCAACGATTGTCTTTCCTGTAAAAGTGATCCAAGCAGCTGTACAGCTGCCTGATCACTTTTGCTGTGCATGAAAGGGACTCCCCCATTCCACTGCTGCTGTTCCTACACTCTCCTGTTCCACCTGAGAGCCTGGGACTGCAGTAAGTGGTCAGGTTAGCTGCCAACATAGCAGATAGAGAAACAAAATAAGCTAATGATCCCCCAATAGGACTTTTAGGGCAATCGTATCAAAACATTGTAAGAAGAAATTTGTTAGTCATTTTATTGAAGTACAAAATCTAGATTAAAAACCACATACATATGGCTTACAATACAACATGTCATAGAGAGAATATGAAAAAGCTGTCAGAGATACATGTAATGATGTGTCTCCATTCATCCAATGCATTTCAGAGATTTGCAGCTGTTTCCTCAGGGGTGTCAAGGATGTCACATCTCTATAAAATAATAAATACTGTAAACATTATACAAAATGCACTATTTTACTAAAAGTATTGGCCTCGCCCTCCAGATCATTGGCTTCATGTGTTCCAAGCCCCTCCATGGACACAGGTGTATACAATCAAGCCCCTAGGCGTGCAGATGGCTTCTACAAACATTGGTGAAAGAATGGGTCGCTCTCAGGAGCTCAGTGACTCCAAGCGTGGTCCTGTGATAGGTGGCCACCTGTGCAATAAGTCCATCCGTGACATTTCCTGGCTACTAAATATTCCACGCTCAACTGTTAGTGGGGTTATGACAAAGTGGAAGCAACTGGGAACAACAGCCACTCAGCCACCAAGTGTTAGGCCAGGTCACATGACAGGGCGGGGTCAGCGCATGCTGAAGCAGACAGTGTGTAGAGGTTTCCAACTGTCTGCAGAGTCAATAGCTAAAGAACTCCAAACTTGGTGCGGGCTTCAGATTAGCCCAACAACAGTGCGTAGAGAGCTTCATGGAATGGGTTTCCATGGCCGAGCAGTTCATCCAAGCCTTCCATCACCAAGTGCAATGCAAAGCATCGGATGCTGTGGTGTAAAGCACGCCACCACTGTACTCTAGAGCAGTGGAGATGTGTACATGCCTGACTGCATTGTGCCAAGTGTAAAGTTTGGTGGAGGGGGAATTATGGTGTTGGTTAGTGTTTCAGGGGTTGGGCTTGGCCCCCTAGTTCCAGTGAAGGGAACTCTTAAGGCAACAGCATACTAAGACATTTTGGACAATTTCATGCTCCCAACTTTATGGGAAGAGTTTGGGGATGGCCCTTTTCTTTTCCAACATGACTGTGCATCAGTGCACAAAGCAAGGTCCATAAAGACATGGAGGAGCCAGTTTGGGGTGGAGGAACTTGACTGGCCTGCACAGAGTCCTGATCTCAACCCCATAGAACATCTTTGGGATGAATTAGAGAGGAGGCTGCGAGTCAGGCCTCCTCCCCGGACATCAGTACCTGACCTGACAAATGTGCTTCTGGAAGAATGGTCCAACCTTCCCATAGACACCCTCCTAAACCTTGTGGACGGCCTTCCCAGAAGAGTCTAGGAGGGAGGGGATAGTGGTACAGGAGGAAATGGCTGTGGGGGATGGAGTGTTATGAGGAGTGGAGGAGATCGGCAGTTAGGTGAGGGCTGGGTAGGCTTCCCTGAAGAGGAGGGTTTTCAGGGTGCACCTAAATGTGAGGAGGGTAGGTGACAGTCTGATGGATTGAGGTAGTGAGTTCCAGAGGATGGGGGAAGACCTGTAGAAGTCCTGGAGTCAGGCATGGGAGGAGGAGACCAGGGAGCTAGAGAGTAGGAGGTCTTGTGAGGAGCGAAGATTACGTGTTGGGTGGTATTTGTATATCAAGTCGGTGAGGTAGTTTGGGGCAGCATTATGAATGACTTTGTATGTCTGTGTTAGTAGTTTGAATTTAATGCGTTGGGCAATCGAAAGCCAGTGGAGGGATTGACAGAGGGGGGTGGCGGATACGGAGCGGTTGGTAAGGTGGATGAGTCTGGCCACAGAGTTTAGGATAGACTGAAGCGGGGATAGTCTGTGATGAGGTAGGCCGGTGAGAAGGGAGTTGCAGTAGTCGAGTCGTGAGATAATAAGGGAGTGAATGAGTTGTTTAGTAGTGTCTGGGGTTAGGAACGATTGTATTTTGGAGATGTTGTGGAGGTGGAGCCTGCATAAGTTTGCCAGCGATTGGACATGGGGCTGGAAGGACAGATTGGAGTCTAGAGTGACACCTAGAACTTTGGCTTGCGGGGTGGGACTGATGGTGGCGTTATTGGTCGTGTGGAGAGGTTGGGTGGGGGGCGCGGGGCTGGGGGGAAAACTAGGAGCTCGGTTTTGGAAAGGTTTAATTTGAGGAAGTGGAGTGACATCCAGTCTGATATGTCGTTCAGTAGGCAGGTGATTCGGGCAGAGACTGCAGGGGTGAGGTGA